GGCGGGCTGTCCATGCCGAAGCTCGTGCAGGACTACTTCCAGGGCTCTGGCATGTCCTTTCAGGATCGCAGGGCTTCGAGGATGGAGAGGTGCCCAGACCGCTGCCCTTCCATCGTCTTCCAACTCCTTGCGTAGGCCTCCTGGGAGGCCTCGGTAGCCACCGCTGGACTCGCTTCGAGAGTCAAGTCAGAACGCACCCCTGGCGAGGTTCGGGGAGTAGTAGCGGTATCGCTACCTTTTTTGATTTCCCCAAGGGTTCCAGGAAGCGCAGCCATGGATGAAAGGCGCGTGGAGGAGAGACAGGCTTGGTTTCCGCGCAGGATCGGCGCGCTCTGTCGCCAGATCCGGCGGCACTGGCCTCGTGTTTGTATGTGCGTAGCCGATCCGTGGTCTCTGACGTCCACGCGCCAGAGCCACGGATCCAGCATCCTCGATAGCGTGCGCCCGAAGGGTCCACTTCGATCCGATCGATCCGATTCGATGTCGACGTCGGCCAGTCTGAGCTGATCCGATCCCGACTTCCCAGCGATTCGGTGCGGCCCACTGCTCGCGCGGTGTTGCTGTGCGTTCCGGCGCAGCCAGCCCGCTTCGATCTCGCTGCGTGCCGGAGCAGCCCGATCCGACGCGCCTTCCGATTCGATCCCGTTCCGTAATCTTGGGGTCGGTGCCGGCGACGACGAGGCATCACATCCCATATCTCCATTAGATTTGGTCTCCTCCTCCTCCTCCTTCCCCTCCTCCTCCTCCTCCTCCTCCTCCCCTCCTCCTCCTCCTTCCCTCCTCCTCCTCCTCTCCTCCTCCTCCTCTCCTCCTCCTCCTCCTCCTCCTCCTCCTACCTTCACTGATGTTTCAATCCCGCCGCCTTTTTCTTGACTTCGGCCTTTCGGGTCCGCTCCTGGACCCCATGGCCATCAGACACATGGGGCGCCACGGGGCAGCGGTCGAGAGGGCTGCGGATTAAAATGAGCACTACATCTTCGGACGTCTGGGATGAAGAAACCCAGACCCTAACCCTAAACCCTAAACCATACGGGTCCTTGAGGGGAGCGGCTCTTCATTCTGGCGCACTCGGGGCCCGAAGCGGGCCCGCAGAAGCCGAGAGAGGCGGCGACGCCTGTCCAGATCCAACAGGAGTGCTGTCCAGAGGAGGGAGGATCTCGTCCAGATCCGACAGGGCTGTCCAGAGGAGGAGGAGGGAGGATGAGGAGGATGAGGAGGATGAGGAGGAGGAGGAGGAGGAGGAGGAGGAGGAGGCGGAGGCGGAGGCGGAGGCGGAAGCGGAGGCGGAGGCGGAGGCGGAGGCGGTGGCGGAGGCGGCGGCGGCGGAGGAGGAGGAGGAGGACGAAGAAGAAGAAAAAGGAGGAGGAGGAGGACGAAGAAGAAAAAGGAGGAGGATGAGGAGGAGCAGAAGAAGAAGCATAAGCATAAGCATCATAACAATACTAATACTAATATCACTAGTGCTATCAAGAATAATAACAACAATAATACTACGAAGACTAATAATAATAAGAAGACGAACAATACTAATGACAATTATCCCAGTGCGACCCTACCTAGGAGTTGGAGCCTCTAGGCAAGCAACATTAGTAGGAGCGGTAAACGCCGTCCTCCTCCTTCTCCTCATCGTCGTAGTTGTAGCAGTAGCGGTAGTAGTAGTAGTAGTAGTAGTAGTCGTCGTCGTCGTCGTCGTCGTCGTCGTCGTCGTCGTAGTAGTAGTAGTAGTAGTAGTAGTAGTAGTAGTAGTAGTAGTAGTAATAGTAGTAGTAGTAGTAGTAGTAGTAGTAATAGTAGTAGTAGTATTAGTAGTAGTAGTAGTAGTAGTAGTAATAGTAGTAGTAGTAGTAGTAGTAGTAGTAGTAGTAGTAGTAGTAGTAGTAGTAGTAGTGGCAGTAGTAGTCGTAGTAGTACTAGTCGTAGTAGCAATCGTAGTAGTAGTAGTAGTAGTAGTAGTCGATGCTGTGCTGCGCTATGCTATGCTATGCTATGCTCCGCTCTGCTATGCTATGCTATGCTATGCTATGCTGCGCAATGCTATGCTGGGCTAGGCTAGGCTATGCTATGCTATTCTATGCTGCGCTATGCTATGCTGCGCTATGCTATGCTGTGCTATGCTGTGCTATGCTTTGCTTTGGCTTTGCCTTCGCTTTTGCCTTCACTTTTGCCTTTGCGTTTGCTTTTGTTTGGCACCCAGGGAGCGCAACTGGGGGAACCGCGCGTTTGCTTTTACCTTTGCTGTTGCTTTTGCTTGGGTCCCAGGGGACTGGGGGACCCGCCCGGGGCGGTGTGCACTGCCCGGCCCCTTCAAGCCAACATAGTAAGAACCCTTCTAGGCAGAGCCTAGGTAGGGAATAATAAGAGTATTAAGAACAATACTAACAAGAAGAGAACAATAGTAATAAGAGTAAGAAAAATAATAATACTATTCATAATAATAGTAGTAAGAAGAAAACGAACAATTATACTTATAAGAAGAATAATAATACAAGTCATAAGAGTAATAATAATACGAAACATAAGAGAATTAATACTAATACTAATAATGATAAGAAGAGCAATAATAAGAAGCAGCTGCTAAGACTAATACATAATAAGACTAAGAATAATACTAATAAGAAGAATAATACGAATACTACTACGAATATTCATAATAAGAAGAAACATATAATGATAATAAGAATAATAATAAACGTCTAATCATACTACTAATAGTAAACGTAATAAGAATAATAACAGTAATCTGAAGATTAATAGCACTAATAATATTACTACTTAGATTAATGATATTACTTTTACTAACAATAAAAATATTAAGACTAATAAGAATAATAGCAATAAGACGAGTGCTAATAATAATAAGAGGAGGAGGAGGAAGGAGGAGGAGGAGGAGGAGGAGGAGGGGGGAGGATCACCTCTGGCAGCACGCGTCAGGAGTACTTCCAGTTCCCAGAGATGGCGCAGATCCGGAACCCGGTGCTCCGGAGGCCTCCCAAGCGGGACCGTGAGCAGATGGGGCCGGAGCACCGACCCGCATCGTGGGCGAAGAACATCTCCGTATCCGCGGCCTCGCGGGCCGGGCCCATGGGCTGCGACCCCGCGGAGATCGACTACACGTAGGAGTGACCCTTCGCTGGAGTTGGTGCGCGCCCACTTGGGCCCCCCGATCGCCGAGTGCGGTACGATTGTGCGCCTTGTTCGCTGAGTGCTTGGCCCCTCCGCGGCCCTCCACAAGCCGCGCACCAAAGGTCACTCTTACTCAGGGTCACTCCTGCGTGGAGCCGAGGATACGGGTCCTTTTGTTCGCGGATGCCCCGCAAGGAACGTACTCCGAACTTCTTACTAATCAACAGTGGGGTGACAAACGTGAAAACGCGGCTCGGCCAATTCCCCCCGCGGCGCCACCCCCGCGCCCCAGCGGGAAAGGGAAAGAACCCCAGACCCCCCCTGGCACCGCCGCGGACGCGCCGCGGCCGATCCCCCGGGGCATTCCACGGGGGGGGGGCGATTATTTAGCGATCCAGAGTGCCCCTGCGGCCGCGTATCCGCGGAGTCGCGCCCCGGAAAACGGACCCCGAGGGCGCGGATGCGGACCTGTTTTTGCCGCCCGCGGCCGCATCCGCCCCCGCACTGGTGACGAGGCACGGTCTGGAGCCCGCTCTTCTCCACTGCTGCCGTCGCCGGTGCACCGCCGATGCCTCGGCGAGGCGGTGCGTTTCTCCGAGATCCGACTCGGCGAGGCGGTGCGTTCTTCCGAGAGCCGACGCCGTGAAGCGTGCAGCCTTGTGGAACATGGCGCCTGGAGCCCTGCAGCCAAGGTCGGGAGGGGAAGCCCAGACACAATTCATCGTCGATCCCCGGAAGAAGATGGGAAGACATGGGAAGCGGGGGGGAAGACGAACACCCAGAACATGCGGGAAACTATGAGGAGGAGGAGGAGGAGGAGGAGGAGGAGGAGGAGGAGGAGGAGGAGGAGGAGGGGAGGAGGAGGAGGAGGAGGAGGAAAAGGAGGAGGAGAGGAGGAGGAGGAGGAGGAGGAGGAGGAGGAGGAGGAGGAGGAGGAGGAGCAGGAGGAGGAGCACGAGGACCGCAGACCCCGTCTTTCGACGGCACTTCTCCCGAGCCAGGTCGAGCCGTGAGCGCTGGCGGTGCCGAAATGCAGGGCGAGTCCGCCACAGTGCGCACAGATTGGAAGGCCGGTTGCTTCTGCGAGGGCTTCGGCGAGGGCTTCCGCGAAGGCGGCAGGCCCCGGAGGCTCCCGCGAGGGCCCCTCGGAGGCCGGGCGGGCCCCGGAGCCTCCTCGGGCGCCCCGCCGCCCTCTTGAGAAGCCCGCCGCCCCGCGGCGCCACGCGCCGGTGGGCGCTGTCGCCGACCGTGGCCCCGGGCCCTCGTCGTTTGGGAATCCCGGGGGGGGCGGTCTCCGAGGCCGGCCACGCGCAGGAGTGGCGCCTGCTTCGCCGCAGGGGCCTCGAGCTGCGGGCCCGCGGCAATTATAGGGCCGCCCGCGAGGGCGACGCGGTGCGCCTCGCTCCGCCGGCGAGGGCGCCGGGGTTCCGATGCCGACGGGGTTCGAGTCGATGCGGCTCTCGGTTCGCCGGCGGTCCGATCTCGCTTCGACGCGCGGGGCGCTCCGCCGGCGACGCGACCCGTTGCCGACCCGATGCGACCCGACTCAGCGATTCGATCCAGCGCAGGCCTGCGCGGGCCCGGCCACCACGGATTTCAGGAGCGAAAGAAGGACGTACATGTACATGAATCCACGCTGGTTTCGAGAGTACGCATTGCGCAAATGTTCGTATAACGCGGCCGGTCTCGCGGATCGAGGGGGCCGTGTTCATGTACATAGCTGGGCGCGTACGTCCTTTGTGGCCTCCCTAGGATTGGTGCCCTTGCATTGTGATGCTCCAGCCTACTTTTAGCCTTGATCGCCAGAGAGGATTGGGAGCACCAGAACAACAGTACCCCAAAGCTCGAGGGTTTTCACGCGTCGGGCCCTGGGAGAC